ACAGGTGTTTTGCACTCAATTTTCCCTGAATTCCTCATTTCTGTTTCTTTCCATTCCTCCTTAAGTACCTCATTTTCTAATGTGCCCTTACAAAATCTAGGATCATGTGATATCTAGTCCTAATTGTTAAATTAGGTCACTGTAAATTGAGTGAAAAATGAAATCAGTTGCTAAAAAAGGAAAAAAAAACAAACCACAACAAAAAGGATTACCTCTGTCTGAAGGTCCTTCTGAAGAAATAGTAGAAGGTTTCCTTCTAAGCAAGGTAAGGAGTACAGTCTGTCCTGTGTTACGCAATGCCTCTACCACTTCTTGGTTGGTATAATCCTGTATATTAACTCCATCAACCTAAACCAAGAAAATTGTATCACATGATAGTAATCACATTACGTTCTTAGCCTGTACCATACACTGTCAGCAACATCCAGATTTTTTTGTGCAGAAATTACAGCGTTATTCACCCAAGACAGTAGTATTTGCAAAACAATCTAATTAAATCAGTTACATCTCACTAATTAGATAATATTTTCAAAATGCATTTCAAAAGGAAACACAACAGTCATTTCTTCTGTCTTCACAGGGCAACCACAAAACAGAATTTATTAATCTGATAAAAGTATGCACTGATTTCCCCCTACAATTATTTTTCTTACAAAAAACAGCTTGAGGAGTGTTGTGGATGAAGCTTCCCAGCAAGAGTAGTCAACCTAGAACTCTCTTCAGCTCATTTTCACTGTTAGTTTTCTCATGGATTTCTAACATGCCCTACACAAGTCTAGACACAGAAAAGTTCGTATAATCCACTCTGAACAGCCCAATTCTTACATTAATTCAGTTGTTTTAATTTACACCCAAAATACTCTGTTCACCCCCCTCTTAGATCACGCATCAATAGGGGCTTCTCCTGCAAAACTGCAGATAAAAGCAGAAGGTTGTATCAATTTTTGCTCTCACAAAGGAGGAGCTGACTTTTAAAATGTGTTCTATGCCAGACCTTCCAAAGTAATTTAAAATCATATCTCTATAAATATTATCTCCTAATACAAAAAGGCTGTGTAATTCATTCCTGCTTGTACTGTGAATGTAAAATTGGCTATTATTCAACGGTTTTTAGTTTTTCTACATATAAAGCTTAGGTTTTTAAACCTAAATTGTGACTATTCACATTTTGATTGTATCCACACCAATGCTACACAGTCATTAGGGACCATAAACACTGTGCCACATCTTGCAAAATCTTAACCACCCTCAAATCCCATTCAATTCAAATAGAAGCTAACGCTGCTCATCTTTACTTCAGGCCAAAAGCCAAGATTCTGTACTCTGAAACATTTTAATCCAAATGCTTGCTTCTTCCATAGTTAACTACTGTTTACTACTACTTTGAAGATAAAATAATACTTGAACCACAGCAAAGCCAAAGCTCATTTCTGTTACAAATCTACCTAAACAAACATGAACCGACAAATTATTTCCACTGCAAAGCAGAGAAGGTTTAATTAATTGTAGAAAGTCTTTACTACCTCGTTCTTTTAATGCTGAGATGTGTAATGAAGTATTAGTTCTACAACAATATATAAGCAGACTATTTTACTTACAGCAACAATTTTGTCATGAACATGAATTTGGCCATTGTGGTCAGCAGCACTACCAGGTATTATATTTTTCACAAAAATTCCTGAAAGTTCTGTTGGTAGGAGGAGGGGAGGAAGAGAAACAAGTCACTACATTAACCTAATTTGTTTATTTTCTTATTAAGATTTTTAATTACAGCTTTTTTGACACATTATTTCTGTCCACAAAGTTCTGATTCTGTAAACCACCACCATTTGCACATTACCACTCACAAAGCTGGAAAGAGAATGACTAAGGATCTCTGATGGAAAAACAGCACCAACACAACCACCTGTACAATGACCTCAATTTTTTTTCCTTAAAATGGGTCACGAAAGGCCACCTCCTCCATGGATTCATCCTTGTGCTTACCCAGGCTTTAAACCACAATCACTTAAATCCATGCTGCATTTGATTTCAATAGGACTACCTAAGCTAAAAGTAAAGTATGTGCTTAAGTACTTTGATCAGGACTTCAATCATATTCTCACAGCTAAAGAATTAATTTTTTTAAATATTAATGAAAATTACTTTTCTTAAAAAAAAAAAAAAAAAAAAAAAAAAGAAGAAATCAGAAAAGCTGTCCTTTATCATGTTTGACATTTCATTATTAATTCTAACTTCTAATTAGAGCAAGGAAATAAAAACAGAACAAACAAAACAGTAAAAACCCCAGTCTTCACAGTAACCCTTCCCTTCCACAAACTCCTGCAAAATATGAGATGCTGATCTTTAATTCTAGTGAATCTTGACATTTCATCCATCCTTTTCTGAACACTAACCTTCCTCAGACACCTGCCCAATATGGTTTGTCCATTCTCAAAACCCCTCTACAGGTGCTTCAGACTCACCTTTTCCCATTGCCTGATACGTGCTCCTCCCCAGCCCGGTTCCCAGTGCTCACTGCACTGGCCTGGGATTCCTGACTGGCAACACAAGAGGATGTCCTGGGAACGGAGAGGGCTGGAGAGCAACCCCAGCTGCACCACATTCCCAGAATACTTTCCTGAGTCCCATGAGGAAGGGGAGGGGAGAAAAGCACTACCTCTTTGTGTAAAACCAGATATTCGAGTCAATTTTAAAGATATTATCATTTGTGGAACTGGTAACTGACAGACCAGTTAACAGCTCTAATTTAAAGAGGATTTGGGAAAAAAAACCTGATTCCATGTCTCCATATCCTAGCCTAGATATTTTAATGTGTTCTCAGAGTTTAGACACTGAAACAGCCATCTGCCAAACACGAGCACATCACCCTGTGAAGGTGGCACACAAATCACGCACAGCTCAGGTTCTCTGCATCTCCTGCCTGGCAGAGGGATGGACGAGTTAATCTGACTGATCATTCCCACTCTAACACCTACAATTCATTAAATAACCAAAGTTGCACATTGAGCTGTTTCGTATGTCCTAAAGATGCCATTCAAAAGTTAATGCAAACTGGGGACATTCGATACTCTGGTTTTGAAATTCTTCTTAAAATGTGCTAAATGAATTGCGCCATATACGTACCACAGGGGCAAAATAAGGAACCGTGTGGACAAGAATCTGGCTGTGTTAGAGTCTGTACGTGCAGGAACTGTCTGTTACAGTTTAATGTCTTGCACAGTAACAACATAAGCATGTAAAATTCACAGTCCAGCAGTCAAGTGGGAATTATTTTTTTTTTTTTAAGCTAATTACAACTCTCTTAAAAATTTTTGTGGCTGAAATTCACTTAGCAGCAGTTCTACAAATATCTTCTTCATAGATTTTGTAGGTTACACTGTTTCAGAGAAGTGTGATCCATTTTCCCCATAGTAAATAAAGAGTATTTGAGAAGCCCCAGTTCTAGATCTTACTAAATCCTGTAGAACTCACCCACGTCACATGTGCCAGCATATCCAACAATTGTTATGCCCAGGCTTTGCCCATTCTTTTTTATAAGTTCAACATCATAGGTCTCAAAAAGGTTGGTATTATCCTAGAAATAAAAGACAAGACAGGAAAAAAAATATCTCAGTTTCCCAGTACTATTACAATATTCCAGGTTAAGATGAGAAGTGAGCAGTGATTTTGATTTTCCTATTTTAGGAGGGATCATATTTGCAAAAGTGTCAATATTTGCCGAAAATAAGTTTTCACCCCAAGTCATTAGTTGCTTTTTAAATTCTTTCCTAATACCTCTGACAGGTATGCAGAGAAAATATAATATTTATATTTTATGGAAAACAAAGAGGTTTTTTAGGCTGTTGGGGGTCCATTTCCCTTTGGATTCTGCTGCCACTTGGTAACAACAAACTTCACAGTCAATTTCACAAGACAACAGAAACTCTGAATGCCTTCAGAATATCTTCTCTCCCTTTCATATGTTAGTCCTGATAAACAGTGTCATGAACCCATTTGCCTGAGCTCTTTCTACTGGACACTTAACAAAAAAACCCCAGCTGGTATAAACACACAGTGTTATCACATCACACATTTCTGTCAGATGTTTAGTGGTGTTTCTCTCTCCTTATTATCATCTACTATGAAAGGAGGAAGTGAAGGGCAGCAGGAAAGGGATCTCAAAACAGAAACAGGTTCGATACCCTGAAAGAAACCACCTGTATACACAGTAGACACATCTCTACTGCTGGAGCAGTTGCCTACTTAAATGCAGATATGGGAACTAGGTGTTTGAGCTTATTGTTTATTTTTATGCTGGATCCCAAACCACAAAAACATTCCAAAAGTCTATCTTTCACACATCAGCTTAACAAGTCTGATATGATCCTGTTCAGATTTGAATGCCAGTAAACTGCAAAGAGCACTGGAAGCCTCCAGGTTGTCTAAGGCAATGGGAAGCAAAAGACTCATTAGTTTGCATTCAGTTAAAATTACTTCTGAGACTTGAAAGAGGAAGGGAGAGTATTAATTTGTAAATGCTTTATTGTTGAACTGATAAGACAACTTCTCATAAAAATCAACACTTGAAAAGAGAAAGAAGCACATAATATGACCTGTTCTCAAAACCCTCCACTTACTACAATTAAAAAATTTAAAAATCCATTACGACATGATCTGATCTTACACTGGAGAAGCGCGTGGAAAAAAGTCCCCACAAAGATGGCCTCAGTATGTCACACAGTGCAGCCACTCTACTCTGACACATAAAAATCAAAACCACAAGACAGAATTCAAACAGGACACCCTACAGATATTGATGCTAACGAGGAGAAAAACAATTAAGCGCTTAGATCTGGGATTGCAAGGGATAAATTAAAATACATAAAGTTGTTTGTTTTCAGTAATCGGATATGGCCCAATAGGATCAAAAACAAGGAGAAGATCAGAGTAAGGTCTGTTAAAGTGATGAAATCACGAGGGGTAGTGTCACTGCCAGCAGCAAAAAATGGACTGGGGAATTGGAAAACATTTCTTAAGAGAGGGAACAGAAGAGAAGTTTAATCATATGCTTGCCAAGTATCAGCTCTGGAAGGACCTGTATCAGAAGCAGGCCAAAGTTATAGCTGTATCTATTTCACTTTCCACTGCAAAAGAATCAATGGACAGCTATCTCCTTTCCTATCACACACACACCTCCCTCCACTAACCAACTCATTAAGCTCATTACATGCCTTCCAACTCTCTTGCTCTAGAAGACACTGATGGAGATGAAGATCATTTTTGATGCACTGTCACTTACCCTTAGGAGAGGGAACCAAAACAGCAAACAAGCCTATAGCAACATCTGAAAAGGAGCTACAGCCTTGAGAGTCCTGCCATTTTGACAATCAAAAGCCCTTCGTAGACAGTGCCCTGGCTCCACAAAAATTTTCTCTAAGTAACATTACTGGTAGAATGAAAAAGATTAGAAGTGGAGTCTAGAAAAATCAAAGTACAGAGTCCTACAGTCAGCACAAGTAGGCTGTTAATATTGCTGTCAGTATCTTGGAGAGTACAGATAATATAACTGTTTTCCTGGGCCCATGCACAGACATAAGTAGTTTCAGTTATTCCGTACTGCAGGAAATTTAAAGGAAATCAAATATTAATATAAAACTGAAAAAACCTTAACTATATATTAAAAATGCCTTTCTGCTGGTTTGCAAAAAAGAAAAGGAAAATAATTTCTATTCCAAAGCTCACAGATAGTGAAAGCACTCCGAAACCAGAGAGAAATTAGATTATAGGAAAAAGTTCTGTTGTAAATCAGACACAAACTGAAAGGCGGACCATTAAAATAATCATTAAATTAATACATTCAGATCAGCCACTATTCTTGACTTCAGCATATCTCTCTCAACACCAGAAAGAGGAGTTTCTTGAAATCTAAATATGAAGGCACTATTCAGTGCAGAAAACAATAGATGACATTCAGAAAGAAAGAGATGAAATTGCAACATTATTTTTTCCCCTCTAAACTGCATAGCAGGAATAGGGACGACACTAAAAAGACATCGGAAGGAAGAACATTTTAGAAAGGCTGCAGCATCTACAATGTGACAAACAGGCCTGCCTTTGAGAAGAGAGAGAAATAGTACTTTGTAGAGGAAACAAAACTAGGACCATGTAATTTTTTCCTAATATAAGCCTTGGAAAACATGATACAGCCAGAAAAGAAGTGCTTCATAACGACGCTGATTCTCTAGGAAAGCCTTTTTTCAGAGTGTTAGACAAGCCCACTTTTAAGACTCCAATCTTACATACATAGATCACCCCCTCCCATCTCTCTGCCACTCACTGTTTCCTACTACAACAATCCCTCTTCTGAGAAAAGGAGCTTGAGAAGGACCCCAAACACTTTCCTGACAGCTTCAGCCACAGTAGCCTTCCAGAGAAATGCAAGACACAAAGCTGATGGCTGCCTTTGCAGCGACTATGGCCAGTAAGCAAGAAGGTGAGTTAGTACCAGTATGACTTAGTCTGACCTTTACAAATGGTGCTTCAAAAAAAAAATAAGCTCTCTCCACTCATATTTGAGAAACTAGACAAGAAAGAAAAGGCTACTCAGATTCTACACCTAAATCTAAGCAGCACAGTAGTAGCAGATGGTACACAAGCACAGCTTTGTTTATGTTTCGAGACCTACTGTACACTTAGTGTAGCATTTGTTGATTTTAATTACTCAAAACTGAAAAGAATGACTTCAAAAACAAGAGACTTTGATATGACCATGATAAAATTTGCTAAAACAAGTTTCAAAATTTTTAGATATATTTCCTATCACAGACAGTAGCGTAGACTATGAAAACATTACACTTATGTTTCATAAAGAGATGATTGTGCTGAATAATTCTGGTGTGGCCATGGCACTCTGGATTTCAGACTAGGGAAATTCACATTCAGGTTTTAAATCCACTTACAAATGATTGATTAGCAAAAATGTAATGAGCTAAGAAGAAGAACTAAAAGTACCATTTATCGATAATGTTTATGGTCTTGGTAATTAAATTACCCATTCTGAAATAAATTCTGTAAAGCTGGTCATTCCAATCCCAAGACTATAGGAATTAATAACATACAGGAAAAAGGGAAAAATTATAGAAGGCAGGACTATAATAATGACCACTTAAACACACTCATATGATATCTGGAAACTCAAAAGAGAAGCACTTTAGGTCTCAAGAACATTTTGTTCTCCTCCTCCTTTCTGATCACGAGCCACAGACATACTTACATTTCCATTTGGAAAGGAAGGTAATGTACTGACTGGCCAGCTCACAGGAGCTGGTGGGGTCTCCGTAATTTCACACTTTGGGTCTCTTGCAACGATCATTCTAACAGAATTCCCACAATTTCTCAGCACTTGGGCAACTTGTTCACTGGTCATTCCTTGCACATTAGTCCCTCCAATCTGTAAGATGTAATCACCTGTCCGGAGTCTCCCATCCTTCAAACATAAATAAAATTGCAAAAAAATATTTACAGTCTTTACATAAAATATCTTTTCCATTATAAAATTGAAACTCTCTATAGGCATCTTCACAGCCATGACAGGAAATACCATAAAATTGACCGCCATGGCAACATACTAAATAATTCAAGGAAGCATTTGCACAATTATGCTGTCTTTTCCACAGCAGCTAACAGTGGTAAATCAGCCTTTCCAAAATGGAGTAAGATACGCAGGTTGAATGGCACCATTCTTAAGAAGCTGGTTACTTTTCTCATTGAAGAGAAAACAGAGGACAACGATGTTCTATAATCTCACAGGCTGTTATGGATTGTTGTTTCACAGAACACTCCTCATTGGATGAGGGTTAGAATAAGCAGCACGGCATTTTGACTTAGGACATTTTAGAGTTTTTCCTAAAACTTCTCTACTAACCTGGTAATTCTTTTCTCATATGACTGGGTCCAACTTGAATAAGTAAAACCACTGAAGGTAACAAGACTCCACACAAACCATTTTTTTACATGATAATTATGATTCATGACCTACATCATCGTTTCTATTATAAGCAAGCATTCATAAGGACCAAATCCTCAGCTGGTATTGATCAGCACAACTCCACCACCTTAGTGCATTGATTTATACAGCAATCATAGCAGAGTTATTTCCAGGACTGACTCAAACTCATTTACAAACTCATTCAATATTAACATGTATATGTGCTCATTATTTCACATGTGCTTAATGATGTCTCATTCAGCTGAGAATGATGTGGTGGATAACTTACATGCTTCATTTGTAGCCAAAACACTTTATTCCTTACAGCAAAACAGGTGTTACACAATAATTAAAAAATACTCATTTATCCATGACAGGTTTGGAGGGAGACAGTCAAGCAAAAGCCAACATTTTCCAGTAAAGCTCTCTGAATCTCCAGTTTTAGTTTCCATCCTACACTACAGCAAGTACCTTAGCCTCTCTGTTTTGTATGTTACTGGATCTTGTCTGCATGGGTTTCAGACCTCAAATACCATAACTTGTCATGATCAAATTCACATTAAAAATCCAAATCTGTTCTGCTACTGCATGTGTTCTACTCCTGAAAGGTAGAAACACTTCACACTGAGTCTTTAAAGATTAGCAATCAAAGGTTGCAAATTGTACCTGTGCAACTTCAAAATTAATCAGTAACTTCAAAAGGCTTTGCATCAATCCTCAGTGTCTCCTTGAACTGGTCAGACTGCAAGGCAGGGATCAAAACCCCTTTAAAATGAAACCACTAAAAATAAGACATCGTCAATCTGTAAACTGAATCTTGCAATGCAATTACTTCAATAGGGCAGGTTCTCTTGCCCGACAATTCATTTGGAGAGTTTGTCCCTACAGATGTTGCCAAATGTGCCAAATTCTACAGAGGATGTGCAAATCCATTAAGAGTATTTGTCCTCCCCTAGACTGGCCAAAAGCTGAAAATATCACAAGTATTGAAAATATGAGAAGATTAGACAACTTCTCAGAATTTCTGTATGTTCAACAATGTTATAAAAGCCAAAGCATGTCTGAGAAACAACTTAATTCATATCAGACGCTGACTTCTTCCTCAATGATACCTTCAACATATTTACTTATACAGTATACGTTGGCATTCAGACTTTGATGCTATCGGCTTCCTTTTGTTCCAGTATATTAGTTTATTTTAAGACTGTCAAAACCAGTTAATTATACTTTACAATCAAACAAGAAGTGACATAATATAACAAATTACCCGATCTGCTAATCCCCCAGGAACAATTGTTCTTACAACTACTCCACTCGACTTTCCTCCTACAATTCCAAAGCCTAATCCCGAACCATCGTTAATCAGCTCAACGTCTTCAACATGGCCCCAGTGAATCTGAAATTAATAAAAACAGGAGATTTTCATTTCAGTCAATCTTTAATGGTCCTCACTTCCACATGTACCAGCAATGTCAAGAATTAATCAGAGTAATTTTCCCTCTCTATTCCACATATTGGAGATCTGTTGGATTTTGTTCAGTCAGCTTCATTTCCTTATAAATACGCAGTGGGATTTCTCATCTGTTTTTAAACATACATTTTGTTCTTCACGTTCAGGATAACAGGATACTAGGAAAAAGCTTGACTAAGAAAAAGCAATTTTAAGATTTTATTGCCAAAATGAAAACTATCCTTTTAGTTTTTCATGAATCAAGAATACTGCAAACAACAGAGAAAAACAGAGAGAAGGAGCTTGCACTGGCTTAGTTTTCACTTAGCATTGCCCAAATTCTTATTTCTGTTATTTCACTTACACTCTCTAAACACCACCAGTACACGCTGAATTAATAGCGTAGTACAATATTTTGCCATACTGAATTGGAAGTATGTTTCTAAGCTACGCTGTACCATGACCTTATGTTCTACAAGACAATCTGAAAATAACAAAGCTGTTAAGCAACCCAAACCCAGCCAATGTTTCTGTCAGATTAATATCTCATAGAAACCAAAAATGGAGCAAAGTAGGCAGATTTAAGTCTTCTGTGAATAAAGGATTTATTAGCATACTGAAAATCTTTGCCAAAGCCAGTTAAATATCATAAAAGAAGTTTAAAGACCCCCTGTAGAGATATATATTTGTATTTTATTTTGTTAGTCTGCTCGGTGCAGATCTTTCAATGAAAAAGCAGTTAAAGTTTAATTCTTTAAAATTTTCAGTGCAATAAACAATATTGATTATCCACTAAAACCTTCAGATTTCACTAGCTCTGTAATAATCATGAAGGAAATAATTATGGAGTATAAAGAACAGCATTGCTCTTAACCAGATTTTCATCAAAACGTCCTAGCATAATAAATTAAGATTCCAATATTGCAAACCCTGGATTTAGGTGTGCACTTCAACCAAATTCAGTGAAGCCACCTGGACTATATGGTTTGAACACAGATGGAAGTTCAGCCCTAGCTTATTACACATCCCAGTGACAATCTCTCCTTGTTCAAGAAAACAAAAGGGCTCACAATCAATGAAATTTGCAGATTAAAAAAACCCCGATAAAGAGCCTCTCAATCCCTGTTTATTTAACAGATACTTTTTGTTTGTTTTTAAAACAAAGACATGGCTTTTTGTTTTGAGCGGCTTAGAGTTTAAATTGCTTGGGATATTTCAAGCAGTGCTCATGACAGGTTATGTTTACACTCTTTTAAGATGTAATCAGAGCATCTTTAATTGCTGAGCACAAGCAGGTTTCAGCTGGGTATACTCGTGAAATGCTTTACCCAGCCTATGCTGAACAGACCCTGCTGCTAAGAGTATGTTGATCTGCTAAAGCTTCTGCTATCCCATAAAAACCCAGGATCTATTTTATAACAACTTCACGCAGCTTTGCAATGGAAGCCTTATACTTATTGCATGATCAGTGTAAGTGAAATGTCATCACATCTAAAATCTGATTAAAGAAAAAAAATCCCTCTATATAAAGCTTGCTACCACAAACACTTACAACCAGGAAAAAATACCCAGCGTGGTTCAAAATCTGATTTTGACAGTATTACAACAACTCACAGTCTCAGGTGGATTTATATCACTTAATAAGACAGCCGAAGTTCTGCCGTTTCCTTGAACTGGCTCCCTAGCAACAACCAGATGTAGAGATCCTGTGGATTGCTGGAGGAGGGCAATAGCGTGCTGATGGGAAATGTTCTGATCCAATGGGGTGCAATTAATGGCCAGTATGTGGTCATTTTCCTTTAGTCTTTGATCCCTTAACAAAACATTAAAAGAAATTTTAAAATGCAGCATAATGACTTCACAACAGGCTTGTGTAATTTAAATATGAACGTGCAAAATACACATTTATGCAAGGTTAAATATTTATGTATTTTTTTAAATCTGCTTATTAGACTGTCTTCACCAACACACAAACTACATGCAATCCACACTGCACAGAACTGCCCAGCTGTATTTTGTTACAACTTTATCACGGTACAGAAATTTGCTCAATTTTTTTTTCCTTTGCTTCTATGCAAAATTCAATGAAATTCCCTCATCCTTTCTTGATGATACTGAATTGCAGGGCAGAAAAAAAATATTTTTGTAGTTATAAAATAAACTAGGAACTAGTCTTTGTTATGTTTAGCACTACATGATACTTACTATCTCTAAGTATCCACAGCTCAGGCTGTAATATTGGTTTGTATCATTATTTAATCTAAAGATCGATGAGCTGCATATTCATATTTTACTCAAAATTTACAAACTTCAGATATCAAACTTTCTTCAAGCAACACACAGTTTAACTTATACCTTAAGATAATATAAATTTCACAGTTAGTTCACCCTAGTGATGAATTTAGATTTGTGACAAGAGAGAAACCATCACTCATCTCCTTTGTTAAATATTCATTCTGAGCATGAGACCAAACTGTTACATAGACAGACACTGCCTTCAAAGCTCTGTAGGAATCCAAAAAAAGGCTCCAGGAGATCTTGTCTCAGAAGCAAAATGGGAAGCATGCTGGGGAAATTTATAAAAACTCCGAAACAATATAACTGCACATCTTAACGAACGCATTTTCAGCTTCCTTTTTCTCATGCGATGTTTAAGATGTTTCCCAGAAATCACTTTCTTCGAGCACTAACCATATTTTAGATTCTCTCATCAAAGAAAGTGAGCAGCAGGTCATCAAATCCTAAAGTGAGATATTCACCCTCCTTTGACATCCGGATCAGTCCATCTGTCTCCACTTTGAAAGAGCCTAATATGCTTTTCTTTAAGTGTTCTCTGGTGTGTTCTCTGTGGGCCCATAGCCATTATCATTCCAACCTCTCTCCGCTCTTTTTGTCATCCTGTGTTGGCACTTCCTGACATGTGTTATTTAAAAAGTGACACCAATGACTTGAAATCTAGACACATTTTCTTGAAACATAATTCCAAGCACTGCATTTGTCTCATGCCAACTCTTGTGGTTTTACAATCACATTTTATTTTTAAAGGATTGCTCTGTCTTTTGTTGTTGGGTGAAAACCCACAGACAATACGGAAAGAAACTGCCTGAAGCCTTGATTCTATGATGACATCTGTGCAGGGATCTGTCGGGAGGACTGGATCTAAATTTACACAGGAAACAAACAGTAAAACCAACTATAAATAGGGCATTGTCATAGGCTCATAAATAAAGAAACAAGGGGAAAAAAAAAAATCTTCCAGGGACACAATGTGTAAAAATGCAAACAGGCTTATTTTTTATTTTCCTTGTATACTTTTCCGAGTTTTCTTTTGTTTTTTAATCAGTACTGAAGATTTTCTTAAATGAGTCATGATTTCTGGAAATTCCATTTATGAATGGCTTGGATATTTAAAACTCATCTGAAAATCTGATCCTCAAAACATCACATCCATTTAGTTGAAAAGCCAGAATTCAAGATACCACCAACAAAATAACCCACCAGATAACCCAGACAAACATGTTAAGTCTGATAGAGTTTTCAATGTGGAAGTTGTGACTCTTCCCTTCATGGAAACACTGCAATTTTCCAGGACAATTATAAAGATCTCACCTGTCAGCTATGCTTCCTGGCTGGACTTCCTTGACAAAGATACCAACTTCTCCCAAGCTGTGATTTTTAAGGGCGACCACGCTAAATCCAAGACCTCCAACAGCAGGCTTTTCAATCTTTATTGATTCTATTTGTCTTCCCTAATAAAACAGAAAAAAAAAATTGATTTACTAATTTTCAATGCAATAGAATGAGCTAGTTTAAAATTTATGAACACCGGGAGAATTATTCTCCTCCTAAGACTAAACAAAGGCAAAATACTGAATATGTTATTTCTATAAAAGCTCCTCCATTTATTATTTTTAATATAGCAGAGTATTGGATACGCAAGCACTCTGAGGTTCTGAAACCTCAGGGAATTTAAGAGCTGCTTTCACACTTCATTCACATTATGAGATGAATTCCAAACTGGATGAAAACTATGAACGAAGTGCTGTCTAGAGCAATATATTTGGGATTTCTGGAAATGCTGCATAGCTAAACTAAATTACTTGTCTTTTGGCTCCCCTTGCTTTTAATGCTGATTTTTAGGTGTGCGTTCAAAAGACTGCAGCTTTTAAATAAAGAAATTAATTTCCTTCCCCTCCCTGCAGCTTCACACTTAATGCTAAAAAAAAAAAGTTTGCTTTTGCAACTGCCTGTTTTTCAGCTCTAATACAAGATTTCTGGGGTTGTTTACTGGGAAATATTAGAGAATGAACTGCTATCACAGCTGTTTTATCCAAAATAATGTGTAGTCTTTACTGCTAAATCTTTTATCTGATGAGTTAATGACACACTAATGAGAAGAGTTATGCTCAAAATATTACAGCTACATTAAGGGAGTCAATTAGCAACAGTTACTTAATATAGAAAGGCATGACTAACCAATTAAATTAATGGTTCAAAGTAACACAGAACAATACATTTGTGGTATAAATGCCAATCCCACATGGGTGGATGTCTGCACCTGTACACCCTCCATAAGCATCTGGAACATGCTACATCACATGTTAACGAAATCAGCATCTGTCTGGCAAAGTTAAGACATACTAAATGAAGAGTTAAATAAAATATTACGTGCCAGTTCTTTTAATCATTTGCACTGTTCATATATTAACAAAGTTGGTACATTTCCAATGTAAAATGTACTTGACAAAACAAGTCTCTCCATCAAAACAAGTTTCTGCAGAAAATGTCCTTTTTCAATTAAGTGTCATCAAATACCAAAAAAGTTTTCTGGCAACTGAAATTTCTTTTCTACATTCATGTGTTTGGTAGAAAGTAAGACAAAAAAAAAATTGGCAAAGAAAAAAACAAACAAACACCACCAAATCAGTTTCCATTGCTGACATAATCTTTCAGAGGGAAAAGTTCTCCTCAGCACTTCTAATCTCCTACTGCCTAGGAGGCACCACACTCTCAGATACACAACAAAAGAGCATGTTTGAAAATGTACTCCAAAAGCCTGCAAGAAAAAGGTTGTCATTAAAGGAAAATAAGTTTGGTTCACTAAGCCTGAGAGCCTTACCTTTGCCATCTGTTGGATGATCGCATTAAATTCATTAACTCCCAGATTTGGAGCGAAGGTAGATGCTTTGGGTTCAGGTGAACTGCAAGGTGTATAAACACTCCCAGCAGCAACTGATTTGTCAGCAAACACTAGTAGCCCTCTCTTAGTAAAATCAAAATCTACTGAACGGTCAGGAGGCATATAATTGAGCTGTTGAAAATGAATAAAGATGTAGAAAAACTATTAAAGACAAAAGAAGAGATTTCCACCTATATCATCTTGTGTGAAGACTGCCAAAGAAGCAAGCATACATATGTTCATGTGTGCTTATTCACACAAATATATTCACCTGCATAAATGAGGCAATGGTAATATATAAGCTATAACCAAGCTGCCATATCAAGTTTAAACTGTTTTTCAGAAGGAAAAGTTCCCTGAATGTTTCAGCCGTGTTTCTACTCCACTCATTTTCTCCATTTCTTTCTTTCTGCTTTGCTGGCCGTGCCCTCAAGCACTGTTGCAACTGTCAGGCAAACCTTGTGTTTCCACTCCACTCATTTCCTCCATTTCTTTCTTTCTGCTTTGCTGCCCATGCCCATTATCCTCTTTTCACCCTGATATTCCAGAAACAACACATGCAAAAGCAACAACAATAAAGAGGCACTCAAGCACTGTTGCAACTGTCAGGCAAACCTAGACAATTTTGGTACAAGAATCTAAAATTTTAAGAGTCACTTAGTCACTCAAGAGTCAAAAGGCTAGTCTGTATTATCTCCTCCCCAGAGAGAGCCTAGGGTACAAACCAACTACCATTGAACAGGTTACCTTTGCTAGAACTTGCAGTTCCATGTCTAATCCTGACAGATAATGAAGAAATACAGAAATATTCCCAATGTGACATAGTAAACTGAAAAATCCCACCCTGAATGAAACTGCTCACGAGAGACATGATTAAAAAGAATTTCAAGAAAACCAAAATTTTCTAGATGTGGTAATTCTGAACATTCTGGATATCAAATCCATTATGCCACAGTCACAAAGCATGATCTTAGATATATTTGCATTTTTAAACATTCTTAATAGCTTGCAGACACGCATCCAAGCTTTGGAATGAAGAACAGGAGCAGATACAGCACCTTTGTGGACATGGGAAGAAGGGAGAATAAATGGCACAACCCACTACCATGCCACCAAGGCAGGAACATGTGAAATGCATTTGGCAACGCCAGCAAGGTGGCCTCGTCCCCCTGATGCACACCCAGCCCACTGTATCTGCAGCTGGGCAGGGGCAGTAACAGCAGAGACAGGGATTGCTGCTGCTCAGGGCATGCCAAGTTAGTCCCTGATGTTAAGTTTGCACACCTGACTCCGCTAACTGCACGGTGAGAACTGTTCATGCAGATGTGTTATTGATGCCCATGTCCACAAGATCTAAGTGTCAGTGGGTGTTATAAACCAATCCACACAAGTTCCTTTCACTGCTGGAGCCAAGTCATTTTAAAACTAGCTTGGGTACGTCCCCATCAGAGCTTGGCAAATCTTCAGGGGTGTTTTTCTAAGACTACATTTCCCAAAACAGGTTAACCAATCTTGTACAAGTCATCAGGAATGAAGTAATGATGCCTTATGAGAAGAAAAGATGCTGCCAGTTCGCTGATAAACAGTATTGAGCTTCTGTAAAAAACAAAGGATCCCAGTCCCAACCGTGTTCAGAACTCAAAGTACTACAGCTGATGTCTTTTACAGATGCTTTTCTCTGACTGATGTGGTTCTCAACACCTGCCTCTTCTGCATCCCTTTCAAAGCATGTTGCCCCATGACCTGTTTGTTGCAATACTACTTCTCATTTCAGTTGTGACTGTGCAGATACTAGCTTGTTAAAGATTATTAATAAAGAGCACCCTCGTTAACACAAGCCTACATGCCCTGTTAGAATCATAGAATGGTTTGGGTTGGAAGGGACCTTAAAGCTCATCCAGTCCCAACCCCCCTGCCATCAGCAGGGACACCTTCCACTAGACCAGGTTGCTCAAAGCCTCATCCAGCCTGGCCTTCAACACTTCCAGGGAGGAGCAGCCACAGCTTCTCTGGGCAACCTGTTCCAGTGTCTGACCACCCTCACAGTGAAGAACTTCTTCCTAATATCTCATCTAAACCTACCCAAGGTTTTAAGTTCCAAGCTCAGGACAGGTATCATCACACCAATTTTACACTCACTTGTTCCTTCAGCTGCTTGATGGATTGCTGGAGGGTCAGTATCTGGTTAAACAAAGGGCTCCTGAGTGTGTTACGCAGAACAGTCAGGTTTTCATTATGTTGGGAATCTCTCTTCTCACACAGTTTTGCTTGCAGACGATCAAGGATCTGCAGCACCTGCTGTTTATCTGCACCACAAAATAGTACATGTTAGGAATGAAGCTTCATTTCTCTCTGCTTATCAAAAGTAATCACTTTCAGACTACATACCTGCAGCAGGATTTTCAGGCATGTTGAAGGATGTTTTCAGAATTACTCAGAATAACCTAGATGAGGTTTAAAAAAAAATAGAACAATTTATATATCTGAGCAGAATGCTAACGGATACACAGTAAATAAATGCAATAATTAAACACTAAGCTAACTATAACAAATTTAATAAAAAAAATACTACTAGCCCCTGTTATTTACCCCAAGTATTCAACCAAGCTCCCAATATAGCTAGTTGCACTGCAGCCTCAGCACATCAAAAAATCTTCCCTTGTTCTGTGTGCTTTTCCTTTTCACACACAGGAATACGAACAACCCGTTCAAACATGAGTAAAAATGCAGATTATAAAAACAAACATTGGCCAAGAAAGCTGGGAGACAGCTATGTTTAACCAAATTATTTTGAATATGGACATTAAAGTTGTGATCCTTCCAAATACACATACAGATAAAATCTTCCTTTTATTTAGAAGGTATTTTCCTCTCGATTACTTGAACTATTGGTAGATAGTATTCTCATCACAATAGCTCTGCCATATGGCAATAAGGGTGAAACCTTGCATCTGGAGTTCCCTCCACTGATGAGACAGCATTATGGCCCTAAATTGTCCAAATCAGTCCCTAATCCACCACATTCCTCAGGGAGGCGAGTTCTAACCGCAGCCCTGGTGCTGAACAGGTGAAGGAAGCTCGTTCCCTTCTCCTACGTGAGGTTTGCCTTTCTCTTTTCTATGTACACGACAAGCTTTGGAGGCACAGAATATCCTTTATCACGCTCTCTGCAGTGCCAAATAGAGCAGGTCTCCAACTGGGGCTGAGGCCTAGATGGCAGCATAAAAACAACAGACTTGCAATTAGCAGCGATGATAAATTTGTACCCTTACTTGCATGTTATTATGTTGATGCGGAGCTTGTCATTCTGAAATCTAACAAGGCAGTTATACCAAAACATACAGGAGAAACAAGATTTCTTCACTTAGTACAAGTTCCTCTGAAAGAAGTCAGCCATTTAATAGCACAATTTACATAATTTTAATTTTATCTGGTATAGAACTGTGTAATTTCACTGGTATAGGACTGTGTAATTTCAGAATAATATATTTTGAATTATTTTGGAACAAAAATAAGCATATATATATATATATATTAAAAACCCCTCTGTATTTTCTTTTTCAGAATCACAGAGTCATAGATAGAATGGTTTGAATTGGAAGGGACCTTAAAGCTCATCCAGTTCCAACCCCCCTGCCAGCAGCAGGGACACCTTCCACTAGACCAGGTTGCTCAAAGCCTCATCCAAC